AAAGACATTGTACCTCACCTCACCTCTCTCCTGACTATACACCCACACACCATTGAATTGTAAATTCATCCTTCTAAAAGATGTACTATTAAATACGAAAGTACTTAAGGAAATTTCTGTCTTAATCCTTCGTGGTCTGACAATGTCACATTGTTCATCACGTCTTAATTACTTCGTGACTTACACACACATATATATATATATATATATATATATATATATATATATATATATATATATATATATATATATATATATATATATATATATATATATATATGTGTGTGTGTGTATCACGAAAATAAACACGTGATTAAAAATGTGACAATGTCAGACCACGGAGGAAAAATGAAACAGGAATTTCCTTAAGTACTTTCGTATATTAATACATCTTCAGAAGTCACTCCTTCTGAAGATGTATTAATATACGAAAGTACTTAAGGAAATTCCTGTTTCATTTTTCCTCCGTGGTCTGACATTGTCATATATATATATATATATATATATATATATATATATATATATATATATATATATATATATGCGAACAAGCCTGAATGGTCCCCAGGACAATATGCAACTGAAAACTCACACCCCAGAAGTGACTCGAACCCATACTCCCAGAAGCAACGCAACTGGTATGTACAAGACGCCTTAATCCACTTGACCATCACGACCGGACATAATGAGGTGATAGCCGAGGCTATTTGAACCACCCCACCGCCGGCACTCGGATAGTAATCTTGGGCATAGCATTTTACCAAATCACCTCATTCTTTGGGGCACACGTGAGGAACACAAATGCGAACAAGCCTGAATGGTCCCCAGGACAATATGCAACTGAAAACTCACACCCCAGAAGTGACTCGAACCCATACTCCCAGAAGCAACGCAACTGGTATGTACAAGACGCCTTAATCCACTTGACCATCACGACCGGACATAATGAGGTGATTGTACATACCAGTTGCGTTGCTTCTGGGAGTATGGGTTCGAGTCACTTCTGGGGTGTGAGTTTTCAGTTATATATATATATATATATATATATATATATGTATGAGGGACCCCATCCGTCACCGGGCGAGGCAGCATCAGCCAAGCATCCCACCCAAGATCAACCATTTATACACAACTTTCATTAAGAGATTGCGAGTGGAGGGCGCGCGCTGGGAGGACAAAAACAGTGCCAGGAAGTTCGAGTCTACTGCCAGCTCCAAGGTGCCAGTTTACCTGGCAGGTATACCCAGTCATATTTATTGTAGCCATCTGTTATACCAGCCTCAGGTCTACGTCTGGTATATCATTTTAACGTGTAGATGGTCTAGGGGGGGGGGGTATTAAAGGTGTTCTAAGGGACTATTGTGGGCGTTGGTGAGCAGTGAGGACTCAGAGGTAAGGTGTCCGGACGAGGCGGGACAGAGGGAGAAGTTCTGATTCCGAATATTAATGACATGATGTTAAATTGTCAAATAATTTTGACCCGAGGTCACTCTAATATTTGTGTCTAGGCGATACAATTGTGATGTTAGGTACATGCAAAAGTAAGATAATTTACTGCAAAATCTTCTGGTGGAAGTCAATATTCGAGGAAATTCTGCGCATATATCTCTCATATTTATTGATACATTTAAATCAAGAAGCCTCTTCGCTTTGTGTGTGTGTATACTCACTTAGTTGTACATGCGAGGGTTGAGCTCTGGCTCTTTGGTCCAGCCTCTCAACAGCCAATCAACTGGTGTATAGATTCCTGAGCCTACTGGGTTCTATCAATATAAATTTTAACATTTTAAGTGGTCCCAATAATTGATATATTTTAATAAAGCAGTAAAAGATCTCTGCACGCTCTCCAGGTCAGTAATTTCTCCAGCTTTGAACGGGGATGTTAGTGTGCAACAATACTCCACCCTAGAGAGCACTAGCGTCTGGAAAAACATCATGTGTTGTTGGTGTTGTGGACAAATGTGAACACAAATGACAGATGTATTGGACAGGTGTGTGTTGCACACGGGTACACTACACTGTTCTGTCAGGCAAAGGGTATATGTGTGGGGGAGGGGGGGAGAAGTGACTACCCTCAGGGCACCCTCCACAACCCATGGGTCAGTGGACCAGAGGGTGGACCAGTGGGCCAGAGGGTGGGCCAGTGGGCCAGAGGGTGGGCCAGTGGACCACAGGGTGGGCCAGTGGACCACAGGGTGGGCCAGTGGACCACAGGGTGGGCCAGTGGACCACAGGGTGGGCCAGTGGACCACAGGGTGGGCCAGTGGACCACAGGGTGGGCCAGTGGGCCAGGGAGTTGTTCAGGGGACCAAGTGGGTGGAGCAGTGGTTGGGCGTGTAGTGGGTGGGATAATGGGGGTGGGGTGGGGTAGGGAAGGTCACACAGGACCACAGTTAGCTACGGTGGGTCAGGTCTGGTGGGTGGGTGGGCCGCCCACCCCGCGTTAGGCGTCAGGGCGATAATTGTTCACCCACTCCCTCCTCTCTTATCACCCCAAATCTGTTATCACCACAAACCTGTTATCAATCCATGCTTGTAATCATCCCAAGTCTATTATCCCCCCCAAGAATGATAGCACAATTGCTCTGTTATCACACTCAGTTATATTATGCAAATTTACTCCCAATTGTGGAGACCAAGAAGTGTAATTTTTGTATTGTGATGGGACGGTTGACAGCCCCACGACGGTCAAGCAGTCACTGGAGAGTGGGTTGACAGCCCCCACGACGGTCAAGCAGTCATTGGAGAGTGGGTTGACAGCCCCACGACGGTCAAGCAACCAAATACTGCATAAAAGTGATTCACTAAGTGGTCAAGATTGACACATACATAGAACATTTTATACTTGTAGAAGTAGAAATTAGAACGTTGTCCGCCGGTGCTGTGGGAAAGGCTCGAATTATCGGGTGTGTTGATGGCGCAACTCCTCCTCTTCCCTGTGGGGCGGGGCCCAGACACGCCCTCACCCGCCCCGACACAAAACCCCGCCTCGGAGCCCTTTTTGTGTGTCTTAGAGGAAAAATCTTTTCTCTCGTCTTTTGTTCTTGTTCTATTGATGTCCCACTCGCTATTACCGTCCCTCCTCATCCATAACTTGACCCCTCACCCTTCCCCTTGACCCCTCACCCTTCCCTTTGATCCCTCACCCCTCCCCTTGACCCCTCACCCTTCCCTTTGACCCCCTCACCCTTCCCTTTGACCCCTCACCCTTCCCTTTGACCCCTCACCCTTCCCCTTGACCCCTCACCCTTCCCCTTGACCCCTCACCCCTCACTTTGACCCCTCACCCTTCCCCTTGACCCCTCACCCCTCCCTTTGACCCCTCACCCTTCCCCTTGACCTCTCACCCCTCACTTTGACCCCTCACCCTTCCCCTTGACCTCTCACCCCTCACTTTGACCCCTCACCCTTCCCCTTGACCTCTCACCCTTCCCCTTGACCCCTCACCCTTCCCCTTGACCCCTCACCCTTCCCCTTGACCCCTCACCCTTCCCCTTGACCCCTCACCCTCCCCTCACCCCCTCACCCCTTTTCCCCTTTCCCCTTGACCCCTCACCCTTCCCCTTGACCCCTCTCACTTTCCCCTTGACCTCAATACCGGCCTGACCCCTCACCCTTCCCCTTGACCCCTCACCCTTCCCCTTGCACCGCACTAAACCCCTCACCCTTCCCCTTGACCCCTCACCCTCCCACCCCTCACCCTTCCCCTTGACCCCTCACCCTTCCCCTTGACCTCTCACCCCTCACTTTGACCCCTCACCCTTCCCCTTGACCTCTCACTTTGACCTCAATACCGGCCTGAAATCCGCACCGCCTAAAACCCTAAATCCCATGAGGTGAGATCATTGACGTGTGTGTTAACTCACATCATTATCTCTATGTTATCACCATCAACAGACGGCGGCGGCGGCACTCACCGTCACTCACCATCGTCACTCACAGCTTGTACAGGCGGGTTAAATTGCTCTGAAAGCTGTAATATGGCCCCCAACGACCTGAAGCCAGTCAGGGCCACTCTCGCCTGTCATCACCTCAAATATCTCTTTGTCACCGGCTGAAGCCAACGTATTATTCAATCAAATATGTAGAGTAGTGAACCGCCCTTTGTGACCATCCCCGAGGGCGGCGGTGGAGCGGACGATGGGAGCCGGTCGGCCGAGCGGACAGCACGCTGGACTTGTGATCCTGTGGTCCTGGGTTCGATCCCAGGCGCCGGCGAAAAACAATGGGCAGAGTTTCTTTCACCCTATGCCCCTGTTACCTAGCAGGAAAATAGGTACCTGGGTGTTAGTCAGCTGTCACGGGCTGCTTCCTGGGGGTGGAGGCCTGGTCGAGGACTGGGCCGCGGGGACACTAAAAGCCCCGAAATCATCTCAAGAATCATATCAAGATAACGATGTTGGTCTATCCAGGTACAGCGGCGCTGTGCAGTTGCCTTAGACTATGTGAAGGGAAGTACAGGGTGTGTCAAGAACTGTAGCTACGTGATGGGTAAGCCTCCCCCATCACACAGGGTGGTCATATAGGGTCATCCTCGAGTGTTAAGTGGATACTTGGTGGAGTGTCACTTTAATGAAGGTGTAAGGACCACCTCACTCTGTAAGCCTTCCTTGTGAGCCCTAGCTGAAGAATGAGAGTGTGAGGTATACTGGAGGAGTGTGAGGTATACTAGAGGAGTGTGGGGTATACTAGAGTGTGTGTGTGAGGTATACTAGAGGAGTGTGGGGTATACTAGAGGAGTGTGGGAGAGAGTATCAGAGTTTTGTGGAGAGTGGGGGAGGGGAGAGGGGGGAGGGGAGAGGGGGGAAGGGGGTTGGGAAGGAGAGGGTAGTGATAGGAAGAGAAGATTAGTGTGAGGGAAAGTACGGGAGTGTGGGGGTGTGTGGGGGTCAGTGTGGGAACGTGCAGCCAAGAGCTTCGAGTTTAAGCTAATGTCTCGTCTAACTTTAGCAGCGGTTTACCTTTGTTATCCGTTAGTCCTGTTAGTCCTGTTAGTCCTGTTAGTCCTGGCCAGCGTTACTGCCTTGTACTTTATCGTTACCTTCCTTCACTCCAAGTCTTCCAACACTCGTGTACAGTATGTTCATACTCTTCCTGGCCAGGTCTGCTGAAGCCTCCGGGGCCAGCTGGTCTGCTGAAGCCTGCGGAGCCAGCTGGCCTGCTGAAGCCTCCGGGGCCAGCTGGTCTGCTGAAGCCTGCGGAGCCAGCTGGCCTGCTGAAGCCTCCGGGGCCAGCTGGTCTGCTGAAGCCTGCGGAGCCAGCTGGCCTGCTGAAGCCTCCGGGGCCAGCTGGTCTGCTGAAGCCTGCGGAGCCAGCTGGCCTGCTGAAGCCTCCGGGGCCAGCTGGTCTGCTGAAGCCTGCGGAGCCAGCTGGCTTGCTGAAGCCTCCGGGGCCAGCTGGTCTGCTGAAGCCTGCGGAGCCAGCTGGCCTGCTGAAGCCTCCGGGGCCAGCTGGCCTGCTGAAGCCTCCGGGGCCAGCTGGCCTGCTGAAGCCTCCGGGGCCAGCTGGCCTGCTGAAGCCTCCGGGGCCAGCTGGCCTGCTGAAGCCTCCGGGGCCAGCTGGCCTGCTGAAGCCTCCGGGGCCAGCTGGCCTGCTGAAGCCTCCGGGGCCAGCTGGCCTGCTGAAGCCTCCGGGGCCAGCTGGCCTGCTGAAGCCTCCGGGGCCAGCTGGCCTGCTGAAGCCTCCGGGGCCAGGCTTCGAGCTTCCCTCCTCGTCGCCAACATTCTAGGTTTTAATCCCTTAAAGTCCTCCATATACCTTGACTCTCTATGCTGTTCCCTTCACACATTCTTGAGCCGTCTCCCCCTCACATATTCTTGGTCCGGCTCCCCTCTCCCATTCTTTGCAAGGGTCAGAGTTCGATCCCCGATGGTCCAAATAGTTAGGACGGCTCCATCACTGTCCTCACACCTCTTCCAAGTGCCTGAGAGTCATACTGGCCTAGCGGTTTCACCTGTCAACTACCGTCCCAATCCTGAGCACTCCAGTTGCAAACTCTGTGAGCAGGAACTGGGGCATGATCTCCCACACTACATCACCGATTGCCCAAGTTATTAGACCTTTCAGACCCGTTGGTATGAGGTACCTGGAGCTTTGTAATTACTCCCCTTCATATAGTCTAGGGCAGCTGCATAAATGTTGACGTGCCAGAATGTGTTAATATAAGAAAAATCATATCTGCGCCTCCTGCTCCCTACACGGCTTCCCACAGGAGTGGCACCAGGGCGACCATCCTGTAGCCAGGGTCGTCCTGTGAGTGGCACCAGGGCGACCGTCCTGTGAGTGGCACCAGGGCGACCATCCTGTAGCCACGGTCGTCCTGTGAGTGGCACCAGGGCGACCATCCTGTAGCCAGGGTCGTCCTGTGGTCGGCGGCGGTGGAGGAGGAGAGGTCTCTAGTTCCCCCAGAACGTGATCACTGACCCAGACCCTCTCTTTAACACCTTCCTCTCTCTCTCGCCGGAAGATGACGTTCCCACGCTGCTCCACACTCTCAAGGGTTGCTTCTGCCTCCTGCCAGACGCCGGCTTCCGTGTCCTCGACCCATAAACAACCTGCTCGCTGCACAGAATTGGTTTCAAAATGACTTTTGGTTGGATAGCGTCTTGATACAGCTTTATCAGGTTAGTTAACACGTACCAATTGAGGAAAATACTTGTCCTAAAGCACCTCATCACTTTGGTCAATACTGCTTCAAATACTCAGGTCAGATGAGATATAAATGTCACTCAGAGGCCTGAAAGCACCAGTATAACAAAATATGACTTTTTAGGTCTGACACCAACACATGAGCAGCACAAAATGGCGACCAATGTGACGCAGTAATTGCCAGGATCAGGTTGGGTTAGTCACCTGTGGTTGGGTTAGCCACCTGTGGTTGGGTTAGCCACCTGTGGTTGGGTTAGCCACCTGTGGCAGGTGGCTACAGGTGACAGCTCTGCCAACAGGAGCTCCCCAAGTGTGAACTCTTTGAGAAAGGTTCTTCACATAGTTATCTTTCTCACTGCCTAAAACCACTCCAGAAATATTCAGTTTATCCAAACGAAGGACAAGTGAAACATGAATGTTAATGTTCTATAACATCAATTGCATTGTTTAATGATAATGTTAATTTTATGTTAAGTTTTACTAGCTATATCAAAATTTTACTGGTGCTTAAGGTATGTTTATAACTGGTAATAATATATTTTGCTGGAATGTGTAAAAATTTGGTTGAAAATTGTTGTTAAAAATTAATAGTTTGTTTTGTAGTGAAGGAATTATACCTCCCTTACCCGGGACCCAATTACGGGGTCGACAGCATCAACCACTATATATAGGCGCCTGGTGCCAACGTCTTCACAATCTTAGGTTAAGCAGTGATTTTCTTGAGTCAAATTACGTATTCATCCATCCCACCCACACAAATTTTACTCAGTCCCCCCTGTGTAGTCCCCCCCAGTCACCTACCCCTCTTCCCAGACCTCCCACAGAGAAACATCCGAGGACAGTCATTAATCAAGCAAACAAGGGGACCATAAGTGCTCTGTTCCATCCAGGTTTTTATCTGGTGGGAGAGATACTTCACTAACCCGAGGAACAACTGCCTCAATAATGCCAGTATGTATTTAAGTGATGTTTGGTGTCGGGCAAATGGGTTTTCAGCCTTTGTTAGGATAAACTATCACCACAGTGGCCTACTGGCCAGCCTGTCAATAGTCTTTTATCTTTAATATAATCTAGGCCTACCCACAGCCTCCTTCCAAGAAAGTATAAAAAATAAGATATTATTTGTTATTATTTTTTGTTTACACAAAATTGGCGTTGAATATAATTGCTTCTTGATTTAATTCCATAATTTTGTGTAATATCAAAGGTCAGTATTGCTCAATTTAAGGAAACTATAGAGCTAACGAGCGTGTAGTTCATTATAGCAAGTCCACTACGGGCTCACCATAGCCCGTGCTACTTGGAGCTTTATGTTCCTGGTAGCGAATCTTAAACAACAACAACAACAACAACAGTTCATTACAGAAGCGTAAGTGACCCACACCAGCTCTGGTCACGTGACAGTAAGAGCCTTGTTGCTAACAGCCGGTCGGCCGAGCGGACAGCACGCTGGACTTGTGATCCTGTGGTCCCGGGTTCGATCCCAGGCGCCGGCGAGAAATAATGGGCAGTTTCTGTCACCCTATGCTCCTGTTACCTAGCAGTAAAATAGGTACCTGGGTGTTAGTCAGCTGTCACGGGCTGCTTCCTGGGGGTGGAGGCCTGGTCGAGGACCGGGCCGCGGAGACACTAAAGCCCCGAAATCATCTCAAGATAACCTCAAGAAAGATAACAATGTTTAAGGGCAATGTTGTTGTTGTGAGTCTTTGTACATTTATAATGGGGTTTAAACTACGTAATCATTTATGACTAAAGTATTTGATTTGATTTCATTACAGTATGACCCACAGATGCTAGAGAGGATACCCGGCGGTGCTCGGGTCTCTCTCTCCTCTACATACCTTCCCTTTGCCCCCCCCTCTTCCCTTTCCTCTTCCCCAACATTGCCGCCTAACCCACAAAATGTAATATTACGAATCACTGAAAAACTTTAAAAACATAGAAAACAAATCCTTGATTTTAAACTTCATGAAAATCACTGGGGGGGTTGCTATAGGAGCAGATATTTCTTAAAATGATGAAACAAGGGCCGACTGGCCTATGACCTTCCCATACCCCTTATGTATCATCTCGGAAATTTAGCCAAGCTTAGCCACCTACATCTGGCGTCCACCTTTGAACTGACAGATATTTAAATTGTATAGATACAAATTGTGAACCTTACACAGGATTTGGGTTTCTGTTTATCGGTTATATAATACTAATTTAATCAGCCACGTGCTATGTGATACCACTATTTTTTTATCACTATTCTGCAGTAAAAGTGTAATCTTGGAAGAAAAAAGGTAATGCTCGTTTTCTGTAAGCGGAGCCTTGGAGGGTGTGGGGGGGGGGGACTCTTTTTAAGTGCCCGTTAATAACGGTGGACAGATAATGGGAGGGGTTAGTGGGAGAGGAGCCTGGGAGGGGGGGGGGGAGGGGATGTTAATTGTCCAGTGTACTCAAGTTTAAAGTGCTTTTCTGAGCGACGTATAATCTTTGGGAAAGCATGCGTGGGGCGCGTGTTTACTTGTTTTAAATGCACTTTATATTAATTTCTTTTAGTTGGTGTTAAACTTTTTAATTAACGCCATTTCTGAGCAGTGCTTGAAGGTAAACTAAACTATCTGGTTTCAAATGGTGAAGAGGAGGAGCTGAGTTGGATATATCATGAGGTCCTCTTAGGCCACCGATACTGACCTTTTCCCAGCTTTAGGTGAATGGAGACCTTGCCCAAACGTTTCGATCAGTCTGGCAATCTATTATAGAAAATATCATATTTTCTTTTTTTACAGATAATAGATGTGTATTAAACTGACTGCCACCACGCGTAGATACTAGGTTGAGGACAAGAAAGCCATGACACTGATCGTAGAGGAATGTTTGCTACTCAAAGTTTCTAGTGTGGTGGCCGCCGCCTCCCTGAGAGGTAACGTCACGCGTCTTGAAGTAATAAATGGTCGCTTAGGTTTTCTGTATCTTCTTCAGCATCTTAAATGCTTCGGCGGGAGATTTGCCGCGTGTCGTATCAAGTCTGTTGGGATCACCTGGTTCGGGATTAGATGTTTGGAAACAGGTGTTTTAAGATTAACTGTCGGGATAAAAGTTCTTAAGATCAGCTGTTTAAGATACAGGTGTTTAACACCAGCTGTTGGGACACATGCTTCGGATCAGCACTGTTTCACTGGGCTGTTGCTGCTGGCCATTCTGTCTTCAGCGTCAATTTCCTCACTAAACACTTGTACCTTTTCAGGAAGTTTTCAAGCGCTCCTGAACTCCCCTATTCCGGCGCGAACTTCACCCAGCGCTGAAGAGGAAGGAATGAAATAGACACGCAAAGGAGAGCGACATAAGTGAGGCTACTGGAGCCGAGTCAGATGACGTTTGTGAAGAAAGCTAGACCGTATAACTACACACTGAGACAGACAGCACTCAACAGGAAGGGACTAACACAGCCAGGACTTAGGTTCATATTGGGCATGTTGTGTGTGTACTCACCTAGTTGTGCTTGCGGGGGTTGAGCTTTGGCTCTTTGGTCCCGCCTCTCTACTGTCAATCCACACACACACACACACACACACACACACACACACACACACACAGACACACACACACACACACACACACACACACACACTCCCCCAACAGTGTGCTTTTCACGATCTGTCAAGAGCAGTGGCAGGACAGATTGATTTAAATGACCAATCAATAGGATGATTAGAGTCCCTAACATGGCAGAAGAATCAGGAGAAAGCTATTTTAGCCATTAGCAAGCCATTACGAATATATAACACTTGCAAGGGTTCAGGATATGGATTTGGGATGAGACGAGGGAAAGGAATGGTATCCAACCACTTGGACGGTCGGGGATTGAGCGCCGACCTGCATGGTTTTTTTCGGAAGACTCAACAGTGTTACTAGTGTTGGAAGCTGGTTTAATATGAAATAAATTTATTTTAGCTCGAGAAAAAGCACAGTTAATAACACAGTAAAGGGTACCTCCATTAATTATTAAAAGGTACCCCCATTAATTGTAAGGGGTTGCCAAGGCGAGAGAAAAGATGGATAAACGGATAAAACTCCAACCTTCTTGAAAAAGATCTGACTTACCTAGAGGCCCTCAAGG